AAGAGAGAGAAATAGTAACAAGAAAAAAGGCCATAATCTTTATTATGATTTTTTATTTTTAAATAAAAATATATAATAATAAAAATTGGACCCTATGCAGCCACCCACTTTACCCCTCCCCCCCCCCCCCCCCCCCCCGTGAAGGTGTTTGACTGAATTGGCTTAGTTATTGTACTGAGAAGGCTAAATCAGGCTGAATATGTAAAAATTTCAATATTCCAATTAGTTGTCTATAACTGGTGGGATTAGATAATCGAGCATCCATGACAAGAAGAAGCTTGACAATAGATGGTAAAGGCGTAGATATAGGTGATGAGTCAGCCTTGTCATAATCCTGCAAAAGTTCTTTGATGAATTTACTTTGGTGAAAAACCATGCCAATATTGATTTTGAAAAATTCAATCACAAGAAAGAAATGCAAAAGACCTAAATCTTTGAATTTGAACTGATCATGTTGTAAAGTTTTGATAAATCGATTTCTTGACCTTGTAAGTAGAATATCATGAACAAAAATGGCTACAATTATAACAGATTGGAAGGCCTTCTTTAATAATATAGAGTAATCATTATGTGAATGAGTAAATCCTTTACTTCTTAAAGCATTGGACAACTTAGCATACCGCTATCTAGATGATTTTCGTAATCCATAAAGTGATTTTTAGAGCTTTCAAACTATAAGGTCAGGCCTTATGATCTAGTGAGTCAAATACACAACACGCTGATAGATCAACATCAACTTCTACAACATCGACAACACCAATGTATCAAGCCTATCAGCGTCATCTTACAGGTTAGTTGTCCGATTGTAATCATTTATATATTAGGAAGATATATTTATATATATTAGGTAATGATATAGGTAAGTATATAATAGATCACATATATGATATCTTTGTGATAAGATCGGTTCTTAGTGTAGATTAGACGAAATCCCTTCAATCAATGGGTATATATATATATATATATATATATATATATATATATATATATATATATATATATATATATATATATATATATATATAAATATATATTTACAACATTAGGGTAAACCCTAATGTTGTCAATGTCATCGTGATCGTGGCTTTTTATCAATCGTCTTTGTGACAATCCCATCTTTTTGGTGAAGACAAAACTCTTTCTTGGTGAAAGAACAATTTGGAGAACTTCTGTATTATTTACTTTTTGTTTATTATTTTTCTTAGATTAGTTTTACATTTTTTATTTATACTTAAAGTGTAGCCGATCAATACCAACCTTCAATTGGTATCAGAGCAGGTTTATGATACACTCAAGTAATCATGTCGACTACTTTCATTCCAAATTCAATTGTCTGTAACAAGATCAATCCGTTTGACAAACACAAATTCTCTAATTAGAAATAAAAGGCCATAGAAGCTTTATAGTTCATAGATTTCTATATGCTCAACGTCGTCAACAAAGGCCCTATAAATGTTATGCATCAATCATCCAATGATGGTGTATCTTGTAGTAAGCAGAAAGGGAAATCTATTCCTAGTTATAACAAGGAAGAGAAAAGGATGTTGAATGTCGATGTAAATGATAGAATTGCTATTTGAAACTCACTCCCTTTTTCTATCTATCGTTTGGTTCAAAATTGCTCAACTGCTTAAGAGATGATGACTACTCTATCATTTGCTTTTGAAATGCAAAACTCTTCAGATGATGAAGTTTAGTGTCTCATGGCTTAGATTGTTGAATCTCGCATTGACACTTCACATGACAACATTGGGATCCTTAACATTGATTCTCCTCACACTGCTAAAGACATCAAGTCAGAATGGGACGAAACGACAACATATTAGGTAGAAAGTCATGTTAATCTTTCATGTATTAATAATATCAAAAAAGGTGACACGATCGTTCTCTTACATTTCAATTTGTTGATCTCAAATAAAGAAAAATCTTCTGTCAGTATTGAGCTAAAGATTCTCAAGGAAAAACTCTCATCTCTAGAAAAATCTATTTATGTTTTAGAAAATAAAAACACTTGTATCTCACTAGCCGAGAATTTTCTTCACTCTAAAAAAGAAAAAGTTGTTGATCATGTTAATCGCACTCAACTTATTTTGAATTATTGGGCATCCTCTCACTTTAATGTCACAAGAATCATTAATGCTCAGATTTCAAATCAGTATAAGAAAATTCTTGGATGTGATATAGAAGGTGTTGTTTCTTTAACCAAAGTTGAAACTAAACAAACCTGTTATAAAGATGACTACTTACAAGAAGACTTTTAGAGTAGATTTGTAAGTGTGTATTTTATAAATCAAACTTTAATCAATATTCACTGCTCTACTGATTCTAATGGAATTACTAAATGTGTTTCTAAATTATTTGATCTTGAGCCTTCTCTCCTACCTTCTCATTTTGAGTATGTTCTTCCCTCCACTAAGATTTTGCTAAAGTTTCCTATATGTAATGGTGAAGTTCATTATGTAAATGAAATGCTTAGCATGTTTCCTCAGTGCTCAGTTAGAAATTTTGAACTTAAAGATCAATCAAAGCCTTTTACTCCTGATAACTCTTCAAAGGATCATGAGTCTCATGACAAGGTAGTACATAAGCATAGCATTGATAACATCCCTTGTTCCAGAACTAAATGAAGAAACCTTAAGTTAAATAATCAAATTTCTTCAGATTTAGCAGTTGAAAAGAAATAAAAATCCTGGACAATTTCTCAAACAATTAAGAGTTATCCGAGTAATCCAGTTGGTAAGCAACTCACCAAACAAGTATTAACCTATATTATTATAGCTTATTTGTCCCCATGGGAATCTGGTAAAGAAGGCTAGAGCTTTTAGGATTTCCATTGAATGCTAGGAGTTCTATCAAATAAGGATCAGCCAGACAGGATAGTTGGGAGACAGGATCATTTTGACATATAACTTTTACAAAATCTAACATTGGGACAACATTTCAATTCTACACATCTCTCTCGTAAGTCGATCAATTAGTATTATAACTGGAATTACTGATTAATCTTACTTATACATTCGTTACCACAATTATGAACATAATTACAAGTTATCTTAGAAAACCTGGTAAGCGTAGCTTCACTTACAGATATTTCTAGCGAAAATTGGAAAAATTCACGAGTGGAAGCACAATACCAAGCACTTCTTTCTGCCCAACAATCTGCTATTCCAGAGCCTTGCTAAAAATGAGATTTCCCAGAACCCCAAAAACTCCTAAAAATCGGATCTAAAGAGAGATTGGTGTGGGAAGTGAGTAAGGGGTGGAAACTATTTATACGCATGATATTAGAGGTGTACGGCATGCCCATAATAGGAGCATGTCGCGCCTTGGCTTGGTCGGCACACCCTTCTCTAGAAAGTTACTACATGTCGTAGAATGTGTGGTGTCATGTCGCTTTGCCAAGTAAAATCGCCGCTTCTTCAAAAAATTATATCTCTCTCATACAAGCTTTTATTTCGATACTCTTTATATCCACACATAGCATTCGACGAGTACTACAACTTTAATTTGGAATCCCTCGGCTAATTCTCACTCCATTTTAAATTTAATAGTCTATAAAGATTATATTACAAACGACCATGTAAATTGATAACTCTTTCATACAAACTCAATTCTCGACTGTCTTTATATCGACGGATTGGTATTTATGAGATCTTCAACTCTCTCTTACATTATTTTGGCTAATACTCAACCGATCTTAATTTTGATTTTAGTGTCGCGCATTGCCATACCGAAACTTCAAAAAATGATATCTTCTTCTTACGAAGTCAGATTTAGACGTTCTTTACATGTATGCTCTCGTTTTTACAACTACTATGACTTTTGTTTAGATTACCTAAGCTATTAAACAACCCACCTATGATTTACTTTTTATGACACGTTTTGCTAAATAAGGTTGAATGCAGAACTTTGAACAATTATTACTTCTTTATACGAAGTCAGAGTTAAGCGTTCTATATATCTACGAAATTCATATGATGTTTTCTATATGTTTATGATGATTAGTTTGGATAAAAGTTAATATATTTCTAGATTGTATCTTATAATAATCGTTTCATAATATAATCTACAGAAATAGTAAAAATTGAATGTTACACTATGTTTACGGGAAGGAGGGGTATTCTTATTAAATAGTTCCCAATCATATTGTAAAAGTAGAATTCAAAACGGATTTGACTTACTCAATAAGGACTCACGATACAAAAGACGAAAATGAATTACTAGCAAACAACCTTATTTATAGACGAAGGATCAACCGTAAACCCTAATGAGCCAAGCTCATCAGTCCATAGGTCCATGAAAATTGTCAACCAATCACACGTTGCCATGCAACTACTTTAAAAACTTCATCCTTAAGAGATATGAATGGCCACTAGCGATACACTTGTGATGCCATCACATGTAAGTAACACCTTTTTAAGAAGAGCACCATTAGAACCAAGTAGAACCTTTAATTTAAGAGCACCTTTTCACAACCAAGAGTACTTTTACATCAAGAGAGAGAACATTTGCACAGCCAAGAGCCCCTTTGTACCAAGGCAGTGTATCCACACACGGCCAAGAACATATTTAGCCATGCTGGAGCACAATCAGAATATACCCAAAACATTCTCTATTAGACGAGGCCCTAGCACATTCTTATGGCACCTAGGGTGGAGCGCATTCAGCCAAACCCCCAATCGCATTCTGGCAAGCCAAACACATTTAGGGAGTGCCTTCACCAAGAGGAGCACATTTTGAAATACATGCAACACATCATGATACCTCCACGGCAATTGACACTCCAGAATGCTCCATTTCAACTTAGAATGTTCCACCTTATGTACGAATACTCCACCGTGATTCCAAATGCTCAATTCGCATTTAATAGTTTATATAACTATTGTTTTTCCATAACCGTTAACGACACCTTTATAAAAATATAAATGCTTTCTCATCTATTTTTTTCCCTATGCATTTATAAATACTCATCCCATGAAATAAGAACAATTATATATGCTATTTAACGAAGTGTGGATGTAAATTTTTGTAATGGAGTAATGTTTATTAAACATCACGTATCAATGCCTATCTAAATAATTTACACTCTTTTTTCGAATCATGAACTGTTGATGAACATAGTTATATGATCATCTAGATTCTAGAACGCTCGTTAAAGCATGGTAGCATCACATATGTCATTATCAGCTAAGTCGTCTTGAATGAAACAATAGCGTGCGTGTGGCTTGGTGATACACTTCTCGTTTATGAACGCGAACATTCAGCCTCATCAGCCAAAATGACAGTTGTTTCTTCTACGATTGTTTTGGCAAACTATGTTGTGACCCATCATCAAATGGGGGGATGAAAGATGATGACGAAGACAATTCCATCTTTTAATTATATAACTTATATAAACTTATGTTTGAAATTGATAGTAAAATGGTTGTTTAATATTATTAGAGACTAAGTATGTATTTACATGTTAAAAAAAAATTCAATTTAAGTGAAAGCTAGTGGTTAGAAATAGTAGCGGAAATGATGAGAATTAAAAACGGCATTCCTTTTTAACATATTTATTAGTAAAAACTATATATGCCATGTCGTATTATCACTGTCACAATTTTAATATATTTCATAAAATTTCAAAATATTATATAATTATTCATTTTCATAAGCTTCTTCATACTTAAACTACAAACTATATAAACCCATTTAATCACTAGTTTGTGTGATCCCGAAAGTACCAACAAAGGTTAGGGGCTTGATCGACCAAAAAAATGTTGCATGACTCATCCTCAACATTACTTACTAAATACGGATCTGATTGTTCTTGATATGTCCTTGTAGGATCTATATGTTCTGTGTGATTTGAATTCGTAGCTGACGATGAACAAAGAGAAGAGAGCCCAAAAGTTGCTATATTTAGCAACGAGCTTCCATTAGCGTTGCTAACATTCATGTTTTCTTCGTTTAAAACCCCACTTGAATCACTATCAGAAAATCCATCTTTTAAGTCTAGTGATTTTCGAGTTTTTTCGTAGTTTAAACTTGTGTATACTTCATGGTTTGTATTCGTCGGATCAGATCCCAAGAACAAAATATTTTCTCTGTTCTCGAACTCATCATTTCTTTCGGTTGTTTCCTCGTGAAGCTTTGCTTTTAGCTCTATCAACTGCAAAAACATGCAAGAAATGAAATCGATGTTCATAAATGAGGTTTTAAAGTTTAAATCAATATTTATGATAAACAAGTTACATAATTAATTCTAATACAATTTTCTTTTACTAATTAAAAAATAAGTTAGAGTAATTTTCATGATAAATATTAATTATTTATTTTAACTTAAAAACAATCTCATTTGTAAATATTCTTAAGGTTAAATATAATTATATTTCAGATTGTTAATTTTATATAATAAGATAGTTTTTTAAATGATAATATATAATTACAAACAAATTATACAATAACTTTTTATTTTAACACATTTTCTAAAATGAAACTGACCTTGATGTGATTTTCACCTTTACAGCATATAATTCAAAAAAAAAAATAATAATAATAAATAAATAAATAATAAAGATTTGTGTGAGTGATTAAATTACCTCATTGATTATGGTTTCTTTCTCTTGCTCAAGCTTATGATAATTATGCTTAAGAGCATCATAATTAGACTTAAGAAGATTGTAATCTCTCTCCAACTGCTTTGTCTTCCACCGTGCACGGCGGTTCTGGAACCAAATCGCCACCTGCCGTGGTTGCAAACCCAAATCTTGCGCCACTTTCACTTTCCTTTCTGGGTCAAGTTTGTTATCAACTTCAAATATTTTCTCCAACGATTTCACTTGATGATTACTTAACCTTCTCTTTTTGTCACTAAATTGTCCTGTTTCTTCTCCACCGTAGTCTTCACCATCGCCGCCGCCACTGCCGCTGCCATCTACCATGGACTGAAATTCTCCATTGTAAAGGCACTCTTCTTCAGCTTTCATCTCCCCTGAGTCACGAACAAGAGAAGAACATTATTTTTTAACTAAAAAAACTCTAGCTCCGACTATTTTAAGCTCAATCTATCCACCTTTCAAAAGTAAAATTCAGCGAAGAATATTTGGTTTAAGCTAAAGATCAATGATAATTTCAACTTAAGAACATAACAAAGTCAACAAGGTAAATTTGTTTCAAAAGATTTTCGAATATCAAAGAGATCTTCTGGAATTTCCAAACTCAAATAAAACCCCTTATGATAATATATGGAATTATGGTTTCTTGAAATTCAAATTCAGAAAGAAAAAGAAAAGAGACTGTAAAATTGAAGATCTTTCAGAATATAAAATATGAGAAATGTTAAAGAACTGCATAAAGATGATGCAGAAGACCATTTTTTTAACAAAAGCACAAGAAAATTGACGTATCAAGAGCAAGGTGTAACTTTTAATGCATGAATCATGATATACAAGTAACGGATAAATGCTCTGGATTATAATATTATATTCTGAAAATAACAATCTGCCATTGATGAATACCTTCAAGTGGGTGTGAGAGAAAATGAGTTAATGAATCAGAGCAACCGAAGTTTCTCTTCATAACTTTGAAGAAATTGAAGCAAAATCTAGAATATTGTTTTGTGGGTCTTCGAGATAAAAAGAAAAATCTTGAAGCTGACGAATGGAGAAAGGAGAGAAGGGAAAATTAATTTTGTTGTTGTGTCTTTCTCAAAATCTGAGTGACTTTTATACAACGAAGCAGAAGAAGCTGTGTATGAACAAGTTGTGGGGTGGGGTGTCATTCACTGGCCTTTTCTTATAAGAAACATAAATAAAAATTAAAAAATAATTTTTTGAAAAGAAATTATGTATCCTCCAAAACGTCTTTTCATAAACGATTTTATAAACATATAACAATATTATAAATATTTATATATGGGTTCTAAAAAATTGTAGGTACCTAAAATTAATTATCAGAAAAATAGATATTTATTAAATCACTTAAAAAGCAAAGATATTTTTTGATTTTTTTGTTTTGGTTTTTTTTTTTTTTTCTTTTTTGTTTTTTTATCTGTATCTACCCATTAAATTTATTAACTTGTTCACTATTAATTTTTATGACCGTTTGGTGTGAGTTTAGTTGGTTTCGGCATTATTTAGTGTTCCGATGAGACTTCGATTATCATTTCTAACATTCATGATTTTTTTACGAAACATGATCTTTTTAGGAGATACTTTTTATGGGTCTATTGTTTTTCTTGTTTGTGTGTATATATTCATTTGATTAAAAAAAAACCCAGAAGTTCTCATGTATTATTGTGTAAAAATTGACTTCATTTGTTCCCACGTTGAAGTTCATGTGTGTATGTATGTATTCATTTGTAAAATCGCAAAAGTTCATATACTCATTTGTAGACACATGAAAAAGCCCAAATTGAAATCTAGAAATCGAATATCATGAACTATAACGGGAATTGGTTGACTGCAAGAAAGGAGAATCTTTATTACCTCAACAATTTGTTGAATAAATTGCAACTCATCAAGAAAAGCAACTTATATTCTCTTGTTGAAGATCGTGAAGCATGTATTAATATCAAGAAGAGCTTAAAGAAGATGATGAAGGAACTCAAAGATGGATATTGCTTTGTTTATCCAAGGATATTGGTTTGTTTATCAAATCAACCTAGAGAAAACCATGACTATAGAAAAGACATTTTTTGGGATCTTCAAATGTCACTACAAAAAAAAAAACGATTTTGCTAGGGAAAGAATCCGTTGCAAAAAAACTGAAATTTCATTGCAAAATTCGAGCAGCGATAGAATTTGAAATGACCCATTTTCGTCCCTAAAAACCCCGTAGCGAAGGTTTGCAACGGAAACAACAATTTCGTCACAAATGTGACAACAAGATGGAATACGTTGTACATGGTATTCCGCTCTGTACTATGTAGTAGGATTCTTTTGCAAATTATGTAGTAGTTCTTCCGCCAAAAATTTCGTTGTAGTGGATCCGTAGCAAATTACGTGGTGATGAATCACTAGCAAAATCCATGGTGATTAATCCTTAGCAAAATCTGTAGTGATAAATCCCTAGCTAATTCCGTTGTGATGAATCCCTAACAAAATCCATGGTGATGAATCCCTAGCTAAGTTCGTTGCGGTGGATGTGACAATCCGAAAGTTTTAAATCAAGCCAGGTCTAAATTGTAACCCTATTACAATAAAACCTTGACAACTAAAAGGGCATGAGTGCATGTATATAGCTATACACACTTTGGAATCATGGATAAGATAACCTCTTGAAAAGTAAACAAGTTTATCAAGGCAAAACTAGACCAATAGATTGGAATAGGAATCATGGATTCAAAATATTGTCTATTAGTATTTAACCTAGTATCCTACATACCATGGAACATTGAAAGCCGTGAAGAACATGTTTTATATAAGCTATTATACATACTTAAACTTTGAAGACCATATATATATAAGATAACCCCCCTTGAAAGTAAACAAGTTAATAAAACAAGAATATTCAAAGTGGGGGAATAGAAATCAAGAAATGTGAACATTGTTATAACATCTAGCCTAGTACCCTACTCTAGGACATCTCATGACCAAAATCATTTCCATTGGGCCATATTTGGCCGTAAACACCTCTAATGGACCATGGTTTGGCCGAAAACATCTTAATACACCAAAGATTGGCTGTGAACTACCATAGAAACCAAAGGTATGGCTGTGAACACCTTTAATGGGAAGTGTTTCATCGTAAACCCCCATAGTGGACCACATATTGGATGAAAAATCAACGGGAAAAGAACATAGCGCCGTAAACACATGTGTTTACGGGCATTCTTGGATGTTTTAAGGAGTTTACGACATAGGATGTGAATAATACAAAGATAGTTGACTTGGTGAATAGATATTTCAACAGTTCCTCACATAGACCAACAAACTTCCAAGTTATTATCCCACAGTTATCACCGTAAATATCCCATCATTCATTTCCATTCTTTATTAGAACCAAAATCACCATTTAGGAAATTCCGCACTCTCAATTCAACTTCCAAATAACTTCATTCTCTCTCAAAAACTCACGTCTAAGTCTGCAAGGATTTCTCCTCCAAACATGTCCTTATAGTTTTGGTAAGTAAATTTCGACAACCTCTAGTGTTATTACACAATATTTCGTTAATACCATCCTATTTACACATAATATTATGTGTTAATATTCTTAGGACATAGTAAGTTTCAAATAGTTCATCCAACTCTTCAAGTGTTTAGGACTCGAAGTCTCTACACAACACTTCAAACCATCCACCAAATCGAACCAATGTGAGTTCATACCCCCATATCTTCAAGCATTTTTTTTGATGGGTTTTATACAAACAATCCTATGTGTGCATGCAACCCTAGATTCAGATCTATGTTTTCACTATCAGATACAAAACATTATAAACACATGAAGAACCCTAGCATGCTTTTAGTAATTTCGAAATTTAGAAGTAGAAAGGATTACATAACTCTTGTTGTTATGTTGCAATAACAACTTAAATCTTGAATCTTCTTGTCTTTGAAAGCAAGTACCACAAGTGTAGTACCTCTAATGACTCACAAACACCAAGAGCAAATGAAAAGGAAAGAGAGAGAGAGAGAGAGAGAGAGAGAGAGAGAGAGAGGTGGAAAATCAGCTCTAGGAGGTTCTGGGATCAAGTGGCCAATTTTCCTAAGCTGAGGGGTCCTTATATAGTTGTAGGGATTAGGGTTTCAGTCTGTATCCTAATCTGATTGCTTGCCCACCAAGCAGTCCAAAGGATAAGTCCATAATCCTTATCTTGGATGAATTCTAGGGCCTTATTCCCTTGAATTCTTCCACCCTATCCCATAGGGCATCCATTGTCCTACTTTGCAACTATCACATAATTAAAATTCAACCCCCTAGTTTAGTTAACTTCTTTTAATCACAAAATTAATTCTTAATTAATTCTTGACCAATGTAAACTAAATAAATATGATTTCTCTTTTAATATATATTATTCTTATAATATATTAATAAACCATAATAACCTCTTTCTCTATCATTTCTCCAGTGAAGTTGCTTTGGTGAAGGCAACCCAAAAGGACCACGCGCAACCTGGTCAAATACTTACCAAATATGGTTACTGGCTTAGACACTAATCCAACGGTCTCCCACTTGGATAAGTCTAGTAACCATAAATGAAAGCAGAACTCGATTACCAATATTAGCTCTCAAGGACGTTGTCGAACTCTGATCTTATTAGATAAGGGATCGTATAATCCTTTGTTCTAGATATCGTGTGGACAATCAGATGGAGCATAGTAATACTTATTGTTCAACAATTTGTTTCTCGATCTCATATTCGTTTGACATAGAACTTAATTGAACACATCAATTCAGTCCTGACTGGGCCCACATAAGTCAAATCAAATCATCGAGGGGCCCTGATATCGCTTTTACCCTCTTAGGATAAAAGGAACAGATAAACTTCGACTTATATGCATTTAATATTCACTAATTAAATCATACATAACAATGTGTTTTATAACATCAAGTTACTGATACGTTTTCGCATTATCAATGCACAACCAATCAACAAACAATAAACCATATACCTAGGTTTTAAGACCATATAATGTTATCGTCTTGCGATCACTCGTGATAAATTCCATGAAGTGATTCCAGCAAGCGTGAGTTTATTCCAATGCTCAAAACTTGTTCATAAGCACTCGTGAATGTTGTAGCAAACCTTTGCTATGTCTAATACCTTTCAGAAAATCTACACACCAATTCATGATAGTCTTCATTCATACCTACTTCCAACATATGAACGACTACGGACCATTCGAATAATCTATTATTCAGGAAGTCGAAACATGCAAAATGAAACAATAGGTAAATAATTAACATAAGATAGTAATTTTACTAATAAATAATACTCATTTATTTAATCATCTAATGTCAATTACATTTATCTATTACACATTTCCAAACTATCTAATCTAAACTAATATCGTCCTTCGGCCCAATGCTCCTAGCATGCTGCAAGTGCTTAACCCTACTCAGTCCCTTTGTAAGCGGATCTGCTGGGTTATCTTCTGACGATACCCTCTTTACTACGATGAGTCCTTATTCTACTCGATGTCAAATAAAGTGACATTTTCTATCGATATGTCGAGATCTACCATGATCCCTCGGTTCCTTGGTCAAGACAACCGCTCCTTCGTTATCATATAAAATTTCCATGGGCTCCTATATGGCTGGCACAACTCCAAGGTCTCCAATGATATTCTTAAGCCATATTGCCTCTTTTGATGCTTTGCTCACTGCAATGTACTCTGATTCGCACATTGAATCAGCTACGATCTCTTGCTTGGAACTTTTCTAAGTCACTGCTCCTCTATTAAGGGTAAAAACCCATCCCGACTGCAAACAATAGTTGTCCCTGTTGGTCTGAAAACTGGCATCACTATACCCTCATACCTTTAAGCATCACTCCCACCGAGGACTAGAAACCATTCCTTGGTCCTCTGAAGGTACTTAAGAATATTCTTGACTACGGTCCAATGTGCTTTGCAAGGGTTCCCTTGATATCTGCTGACCATGCTCATAGTGAAGGCCACATTAGGGCGAGTACAAGTCATAACATACATGATCGAGCCAACTCCGGAAGCGTAAGGTACTCGACTCATCTCTGCTATCTCGGTTTTGGTACACGGACTTTGAGTCTTACTTAACTTGGCATTACTTTGGATTGGTAACTCCCCTTTTTTGGAATTCTCCATACTAAAACGTTTTAGTACCTTGTCCAAGTAAGTATTCTGACTAAGTCCTATTAGTATTATACTCCTATTTCTCACTATCCTTAT